TCAGAATTAAGTATTGTGCTGCAAAGAACATTTCTGGTAGTTAATACTTGGGCGATCACCTTTGGAAGGAAATAGTGGGTTATGAAGAAGGCCTTTGTGGATAAATAAACGCTGCAACAGCAACTTAGTGGTTACTCTTCAAGTGAACAGCGAACTGTGCACCAATTTCGAGGTTGAAAGTACGTCGGCTCTCTGATTTGCCGGTAGGGCAGATTCTTCCCGAAATCTTAAGGTGGCCCAGCTAAGCCGATTCCAACACGGATTGGAAGAGAGCGTCCGGTGGATGGTCGAGCGATCACACATTCGCCTGATGGCCTGCATCACTAGCCATTCCTCTAGCCTCCAACATTGAACTAATACCTATTTTAAAAGAAACAATTATTTTTTGGATTGAAGAATGTATTGTGATATTTGACGTTGATCTTTGAATGATATGACTATACCACCTAGGAGATCGAACTATGAACTCTAATGAAAACCCGGACGAAGAATGCTTCAACTCCAGTTCACAAAATTCAGCTTTGTTTTGTAAAAGAGCGCTGGTTCTTTAACGTCTTACGATGTGGTAGATTCGTTTACGGTATATAACAACTTTATACCAAATACTACCTGGAGTGTACAATGTTCGGTTTTCACAAGAGCGAGTATGGAGCAAAGAAGTCATCTCCAAAGTTAGTGCGACGATTCATGAAAAAGTGAACGCCCAGATGTGCTGGATAGAGCTTCAATTGCCTTGTATAAAAAACGGAACCAGCTTGTTTGATAACACTAGGTAATTTTTTGCAGCAAACTTTACTTGGAGATAATAAAAAATTGTAGATTGCGACAAAACCATAGGAAGTGAGCATTGTAGCGGTAGTGGTTTCAGTAAACATGAACACGGTCCTGATTCGGTTCCAGTGCAGGGTTACCAAGCCTCCACCCCTCCCAAATCCAAAAAGCAGTGCCGGACATGTCCGTGAAAAGTCGCTCTCTGCATTCCAAATGCGAACACTCTGACCCGGTTATCCCAGAACTCCAGAAAGAATCGACTTGACCAGCATTCAGTGACATTCAAAACGAGAAGAAAATCCTCAACCGTACAGCAGCTATTGCTCATGTAGTTCCTATTTTCTATACTACCGTATATCTTCCATGTTAACTATGCTTATTGCTGGCCACATTTATCCATATCTTCTGTGCTTTGTACTGCTTTCACATAAACACTCTGTATAATCCTTTGTACCACTTCCACTTGTACTTTCTGTGAAAGCCTTTATACAAGCTATCCCATCGCTTCCACATAAACTCTTTGTCCAAGCCTTTGCTTTTCGAACGAACTTTCCGTACGAACAGCTACGCACTTTCACATGTGCTTTGTGTATAAGCTATTGTATAGACTTCCAAACCTTCCCTGCAGGTAGCTCTATCAGAAATGTACTAGCTGGTAACGTTATAGAACATATCCCTGAACACCGTTTTTAGTTCCCTATGTCAAAGCTTATAGGCTGTTTCGAGTCACTCCAAGAGCTGCGAAGGGTGTTAGCGAGCTTCCTGGAGCGTCACGATCGGCGATGTCGCCCCAAGCAGCATGCGCTGGGCTTATCCCAGGTTGGAACCAAATTGATTTACTCAAATAAAAACCATTTGAATTCACAGGTTCTTCCTTCGAAGAAATATTTTTTTGTTCCAAATGTTACAATTCTGGAACTTTGGAGGTTTTTAATCCTTCGAGGCGGTCTCTGTCTCGTGCAAAGAAAGTTTTCGAGATGATTTAAGAAGCAGCAGTCGGCAGACAAGAGACCCGGAAAATATGATCGATGAGGTGAAATATAGCCTACATCGTTCATACATTCGATCACCTCTAAGATGTCTATTATAGCCGAGTGCACCTCCCATCTCTAGTACCTATATCCCAACGGATGTCCTCTCCACTATTCTTTTGTTTTCTCTTCCATTCGGCCTGCTTGTTACTCCCTCATTGTTATCGGCACAATTCACCAACGGGAAAAGCCTGGAGAGCAAAAATCGGTGTCTAAACCAGTTAAGCAAAGGTTGCAGTCGAAACCACAATTTTTAACTTTTCATTTGTTTCTTATCACTTTCGATGACATGGTATTATGTGAGATACAACCACGAGGATTTTGAGAAGCGATCAAAGCTATGAACCTGCTCGGTTTCAAACAAGGGATTACCGAGTTTCTCAACTGCCAGTGCAAGATGATGCACCAGCTGAAGAGCTTCCGCTTGCTTGAAAGTGTCTCTAGGTGAGCCTCATTTTCTCGGTTTTCTTTTTATTACTCTGAAGATATTGGATAAGCAAGTGCTATTCTCATCCTCCTGAGGACTATATTGTTGCATAAGGACCGTCTTCAATGGTAGGAAAACTCTTAGAGAATGACTATGTTGAAATTGCCTTCGAATTTTCAGATTCCTCCTTTTTCAGCGAAGAAAACCTGAGGAGGTAGTTTCGCGCTGAAGCAGGTAATTGTGGAAGACCTTCGCTTTGTAGTGATGCAGTTAATTTAATTGTTTAATCTAGTAATGACATATAATTTTACGCTTAATACAATTTTTTCCGTAACAGTGCCCGCCTAGGTGGATAGCACAGTGGTAGTGATGGCGTTCATAACGAGCATGGCGTTTGTTCGATCCCGTTTTAGGCTATCCAAGTTTCTCATCCCTCCGGCGTAGGTAAGTTAGTACCGAACTTGTCCAGGAAAAAACAATCTCTGCGATGCAAGTGGAAAAGCTCTAGCCCACTTATCTCGCGACTCCAGATAGAATCGGCTTGACCACAACTTAACGCGAGATTGTTATATAGCACACGTTTAATTCCGTACATAAACGTGTACAACACTATCTTGGATGTTCGTTGCTAGAAAACTAATCGAATGTGAGAAGTGCTGTGATCAGCACTGTAGATGTGAAAGATAGTTCGTGCAGAATAGAGTACAGTAAACATTGATCATAATAGTAACTTTTTTATTTACTGCCTATTATAATTTTTCATGGCAGGGTATTACGTGTGAAACAACCACTATAGTGCTGAGATATTTGCAAATCTCCGGACCAGGCGAAATGAAAGACCTGTATAGTGTGGTGGTGAACGTGTTAGCCTCCAGGAAGGGCAACAGCGCGTTCGTTCCCCACCGCAGACACTGTCTGGAGTTTTGCAAGTATCTCAACAACGTTGCGGTTGTTTCACACGCAATACTCTGTCATGAAAAATTATAACAGGCAGTAAATAAAAAGTTAACATTGTGATTTCGACTACGGCCTCATCATAACTAGGTTCGTTGCCGATTTGTGCTCCTTAGATCAATCCCGTTGAGGGGTGATTGCCGCTGATCGATAGAACTAGCTGAGAGACAGGCAAGTCATTTCTAGGTTGGAAGTCAATTAAATTGCAGCAAAATGAAATTGCTGTCGCCTTTGCAAAGTATGTTCCCTGAGAAATCCGAAAGAGGCCTACATTATTTCCCTTTACACACTTTTTTCATATGGTTTTCCACGTTGATTGAGTTAGAAAAATACTGATAGATAATCCACGCTATGGCCGCAGTGGGATATGTAGGGGTAATTTTCTCTTTGACGGTTTATTTTGGCCACCTTCTTACTTCAGCTGTTACTTCTTATTTCGGAAAAATACTGTTTATTGCCAAAAAACTTGCAACTCCATCAAGAACGACAATTACACTTTGTCGAAAATCTCACTGCTACTAAAAGTTGCAAATGTGTCGTCGTCGTCGCCCTAAAAGTCGCAACACCCCAAATTCATTTGTACGATATAAGTTTAGCGCTAACATACCGAGGTTTCCACTTGCACTTTCTTAGCCGCTGTAGAATACTTACTTGGACACTTGGACGGCCCGTTCTCACTACTTGTGCTGGCCCCAGCATAATCCATTTTTCGGAGATTGCTGGTTAAGCCGTTGCGGTTCCCTGGAATTCCGAGGTCAGCCTGGCCAAAGTCTGATCCAAGTCGTCACCACGACAGGTAGTCGCAGCCCCTGTGGATCAGAAGGAGATTTGCCACCATGCGACTTTGATGGCAGGACGGTGGTGGATCCTGGTATTGGTTTACTTTTAACTAGGCTTCCTGATGGAAAACCCGGACTCCTCAACTTGGGAGACCCTGCCGTGGGAGCGAATCCCTCCGCTGTACATCGCAGCCCGACACACAGGAACACCTAGCCACGATGAGGCGGTGAGCCGTTGATGGGAAGAATAAGTCCAGTATTCATAATATGTTTATTTAAGACACACTTTTCCATGATACCATTATATGGCAGGTTTATTTTGTATTCAACAGATCTGTTCGTTCTTTCTTCGTCTCTTTCTCTCTCCTACTCTTTCCCGTCCTTTTTTATCAATTTAAAACTGGGAATTTCCATTGTGGGCCTTCGTTTGTTCAGATATACCGATTTTTAGCCTTATCGTCAAGTAATGCAAAGATCGTGCAAGACTGAACCGGTGAATAGGGCAAATATTCGGGTCACAGACTTCGTTTTTGTTAGTCACCTGACTGTTTTTACTAAAAGAGTGCAGCGCAATGGTTAGAGTTGCCCTAGAGCAGATGCGGTCTAGTGTTCAACCCTACTGCGTGCGAAACTTTCGAATCCTCCAGGGTTGCAAAATTTGTTTGAATTTTCTAGGAGGATAAAAACCACTGCCTTTGCGAATCGGTAGCCTGCACAGCTAACTAGTGCATCCAATCACCTTTACGATACTTAATGAAGTCGAACACATGTCGTGCTATTAATCTTTTTTTTAATGAAATATTGATTTGCCATGTGATTGCCTGTATCGATGCAATATTATTTAAGAACAGTAGCATTCTACCTGCAGCACTATAGAGTACAAACTAAGAAAAGTCATTCATTTGATACCTAGGTTAAAAAGAAATATGACATAAAGGATGAAAACTGTGAACAAATCATATTCTGACGAAGTGTACGAATTGAAAAGTGAGATTATGGGTTCGACTCGATAGTATCTGCGGCTACCACTTTATGACTTCAGTCTTTTGTTGTACAACTTCGAATTAATTCGCGTGGATTCAGGCGTGATAGATTACGTCGGCAGACTGAATGGCGTTCCAGCAACACATTACGATCGATGGTGATATCCGTAGTTTGCATTATGTCCTGAGCTTCGTCGATTAGGCGTGTGTGGTCTGAGTTCGAAAGGTACACCTAGAATTCTCCGTATTTTCGAAATAAAATACACTATATTTTTGTAATAAACGGCCTTGCAGCGCATTGGTAAGGCTGGACTGTGGCAAACACATTGCCCTTAACGTTGCTGAGATATTTGCAAAACTCTGGACCGCAGGTGTCTATGGTGGGGAACGAACGCGCTATTATCCTTTCCGGGGAGCAACGCGTTCACCACCACACCATGCGGGTCCTTTGTTTCGCACGTCTCTCAGCTATTTCTATCGATCTTTTTGCCACAGCAAAAATCAAAACGTTAAACATTGCCCTTATTTACGCACAAGCTGACGTTTCGGCGGGTTTCGCCTTGCTCAGAGCCTGGAAAGGCCAAGTTGACAGCAATCTATTCGGCCAAACACCTCCACAACCAAACAAAGAAAACGCTAAACCAAGATTTCAATCACATTGAACACAGCTCTGCACACTCACCGCTTTCCATGAGTCTTCCTTCCACTGAGCATGTCGCGTGAAGACCAACAGCACAGAAATCACATGGAAGCACAATGTGCCCCACACCAGAATAGCAGTCTTATATACTGCCCTATATCACGCGTGATAATGAGGGCTCTTCCCTGCAGTTCATTTTCGGATTTCTGGAATTAATCCTGAACGCCTCAAGACATTTGCGCGCTTGTGTTCTCGATTCCTGTGCGAGGATCGTGACACGTACTTCAAAGTCCTTCCCGTATTGTCTATGGGTCCTATGCGCGCCTAGTGGAGCATTTGGTTTTAATTTAGATTTACCGACTAGGTGTTCCCTTTATGCGGACACAGAGGGATCTGCCCATTTCGCCAATGTATTCACCTCTGCACGTCTTACAGGAGATCAGATAAACTATACCCGAGCTCATGCAATCACCATCTCTACCATTGGGGCAAATTATGCAATTTGCGTTGCCCATAGACGGTCATATAGGCGGTTACGAACTAGCTGGCACCTAAGATTACTCGGTGGTATTTCAACTACGTTTGCCGAATTCTCTAGACCCGCCCTTCTCAAGCAGCGTTTTATAGCTGCACTCACATCACTTGAGATGAAGGGTAGGATAAACGGGACCGTTTTATCGCCAGAGTTGTCGCTTGGAGGCCTACGATTTCCTCTACACCTATTCTGAGCTAGTTTGGGGCCTCGGATTTCCCCTATACCTATCCCGAGCTACAGTTTCATAGCCATTGGAAATGGCTATTAGTTCCGAGACTCCTCTCCCTCCTCTCTTCCCGTGCACATATTGGTTGCTGTTCAAAACATGTTCCTTACAAGCGCCCTTTTCGTGTGAGAGGATGAGAGGAGAGGTAATGTACCAAGATGTTTTTACTACTTGGCTTTCAGTACCACTTCGTAATGTAGCCATTTTCTGATATGTTAATTTGGACGTTCAGGAATGGAAGCCATTTTTCTTTCGGCTTTTCTCGGGTGAACTTGATATACTCTGACTGTGCGTTTAACAATTCGAAGCATTTGTCCATTTCCTCTTGTGTTGAGCAAAGGACAAAGCAGTCATCTATATATCTGCAGTAGAGTAGCGGCCCGAGATCAATCGCTGGTGCTTCTACCTTAGACATAAACGAAATGGCAAGACTTGGTGCCAGCCGTTGTCTCATTGCCAACCCTCTTATTTGAGCGTAGTACTTTCCGGACCATCTAAAGATTGAGCAGCTCAAGCATTCTTTTAAGAATGTCAACAACTGCTCTATCTTGAAGCCATAAATGTTTATTTCTCCTTCGTGTTGTATAAAGAGTTCGAATAAGGCTTGCATTGCGGAGTCATTCGACACGTTTGCATAAAGGGCGGTAACTTCGATGGACTCCATCACGTACGCGCTGCTGGGCTGCGCAGTACGTAGACGATCCAGAAACATCTGGGTATTCGCAAGATGGGCTGGAATGTGTTTCAACAGCTGGTTAAACATTAGGGTTAAAAACCATGTTATCCTGTCCGTTGGCCCGTCTACACAGCTAATGATAGGTCTAACCCTAAATTATGATGGATCGGTAGACGCAAGATCATCGCTGGATACTAACTTATGAGTTTTTATAAGCAAGTACAAGACGGGACATGTTGGTAAGTCAACTTTTAGTTGAGAGATAACTGATTGCTTCAAACAGCAGCCCTTGCCATTTTGGCTCCTTCGTGGTTCAATTTTCGGTATACACTTTTAAACTCCTCAGATGATGGGCGATAAAGTGAAACATCTTCAAGATGTGTCGTTTTCTTGTTCAGCAATCGCGAGGTTTTTACGACAGTCGTCAACCACATGCGACTATAATCAGCTGTTCTAAACTTCCTCATTGGAAGTCACGAAAAAGCGGCTCTGAAGAAGGCGATACTGCCGAAACGTCAGCTAGCGTTGTATTGTATTGTGTTTTTTATGGAAGTAAATGTATGCTGTTTAAAAACCTCGCCATTGCTGAACAAGAAAATGACACATTCATATTCCAATGCCGAGGTTAAGAGAAAGTCGATCCTGGGAACTATCTTCAAGATGCTTTTTCGTTATCTCAACATCTAACTGATGGGAAATTACGACAAACTCTCTATCCTTATCACTGACGGATAGTCTTATGTTTTTCAACCTTATCAGCTCTTTTACCTCTCGCATACCACGTTTTTGCACTGTAATGAGGTTTGAGGTTTGAGCTGCGAGTGTGTAGAGCTGTGCTCAGTGTGATTGAAATCTTGGTTTAGCGTTTCCTTTGTTTGGTTATGGAGGTGTTTAGCCGAATAGATTGCTTTCTACTTGACCTTTCCAGGCTCTGAGGAAGGCGAAATCCGCCGAAACGTCAGTTTGTACGTGAATAAAGAAATAAAATAATATCTCGTGTTTGCTGAACAAAAGTGAAAGAATTATTCAATCAATGCCGAGGTTAACAGAAAGTCGGACGTGGGAGTTACATTGCCCATAGTTCGATCCCGCTCTCATTCAAGGTAGGCTAATTAGTGCCACACGTGCCTGGTAGAGTATAAAATACTAAGTGGTTAAATCGGTATGTGTCACTGTAAATTTACTGTGTAAGCCAAATATGCACTTAATCATCGCTACAGTGCTACGAATGGAGTCGAATGCATGGCTTATCCCTAGAATATTGCTCAAATCTAGATGCCTTAAAATTTTTATTAAAATCCTAACACTTGCTATTTCCTTAGTTAAAAAAGACGCCAGGGCGCGTGTAGCACAGTGGTTAGAGGCGCCTTGCAAAACACATGAGTTCGATCCCGCGTTCCATACTCAGCAAGTCTTCCATCCTTCCGGATTCGGCAAACCGCAACCAGACTTGTCTGGGAGGGTGGCATCACTGATTAAATACATCCGTAGACCACCGTGAGTCAATGTAAAAGTCAGATATCCATTCCATCACCTCTAACGATGCTTAATGAAGTGGAATGCACGTCGCACTCCTCAGGGATTGATCAATGCCGAGAGATCTATCCTTTATCCTTTATCCTTCATTCTTATACCTAAAATAATACTCCAAAACGCGACATACTGGCAAGAATCCGCCGCTTGTTAGCCTACATTTCACCACTATTCTGTCGAAAATATATTAAATATGGCCAAGAGAAAGATGAAGACATTTGGCACATGATTAATTCTGTAATGCGACGTCTTCCTCTGGATTTCAAGAGCCAGCGCGCAGTTGTGTCGTTGAGGTGTCGACGAATTGATGACAGCCAGTTTTGTCACATTAATATTAATAAACTCAAGGTAATTTGTGGAGCAATTTAGTTGTGAAAGCGTTTTTTTCTCAACCAGGCTCAACCACAGATGCCTTTGGTGATGATTGACAAGCTTTCCAATGAGCTTAAACAACTATTTTTCAAAGTTTACTACTAGGGTGAATATTTAATTCAATAACCTAACAGCTATTCTCAAAAGGTAATTTTTTGGACATACTGGATTAAAACACTAAATCACGGCTTGGAGGACTTTGTCTGGACAACTAGCACAGCGCAGTAAGCCATGGTTCCAGGAAAGGTGCTAGTTGCTGTTTGCTGCAGGGTAACATGTAAATTCTTGCGATTGGAAATGATTATATCCATTAAAACTGTTTGGCCTAGGATTTTCATAGCCGAAACGGCTGAAATAAAATGACTTACCTGCACGACATTATCATCGATGTGTACGCTGTTCTTCATTTCTTGTCCTTCAGCACATCGCCATGCCACACGCATTTCGCTTGTCGGTCTACAAGACATTCTGGACGTAAGGGCGTATTTATGGGTACTTCTGTTGGAAAAGAAATTATGCATGAGTCAAATCAGTAAACAAAGCGATTTCAACTTTAAGGATGCTGAGATATTTGTAAAACTCCGGACCGCAGCTGTCTGCGGTGGGAAACGAACGCTAAAAAAAGGAGTAGATAGTGAATAATAAGTTTAAATTGTGATCATAACGGCCTCAGCTTAACTGGATTGAATGCCTATCACGAGAACACGACGGACTACGAGTCATTCCTCACTGCTGTTCATTTTCGGTGATTTATCGCGAATACTTTAAGAGTCTTGCGCACTCACGTTTTCGATTCCTATGCGAGAATGGTGACTACTACTTCAAAATCTTTTGAGTTATGTATCTGAGTCGTATGCGTGCCTGACGAGCATTTGATTTAAGTTTAACTTTACTGATTAGTTGTTCATTCATACGTCGCCTCGAAATGCACCGCAACAAACTGAAATCGCATTTTTAACTTATTATTTTCTGTCTACTCTTTTTTAACGATTATTGATTACATATTATATTAACGATTATATATTGTGAAACATAACTTTAATGATGCTGAGATATTTGTAAAATTCCAGACCGCAGGTGTCTGCGGTGGGGAACGAACGCTAAAACACACAGAATTTGAGACTAATATTTTAATGTGAGAGACACATTGCGCTTCCATGTGAGCTCTGCGACGGTGGTTACCCCGTGAAATACTCAGTGGAAGACTCATGGAAAGCGCTGTGAGCGAGGAAACTAGTTTGCTTTCAAAGCGACTGAAATTATGGTTTCGCGTTTTTTTCCGCTTTGTTATGGAGGAATTTAGCTCGGTATATTGTAGTTTCCAAGCTCTGAAGAAGGCGAAATCCGTGAAAACGTCAGCTTTTTCTCCAATAAGGAATAACGTTGTAAATTCATGTCTGCTCATAAAGAATACATGAAATTATTTGATCAACGCAGAAGCTAACAGAAAGATCGGTTCTGGGGATAAGCGGAGTTTCACTGGACTCTTTGTATCATCAGATCACATACTTTAACGTTTGTATAAAAAAGATTGAGTACCTTTTTGGAATCGAGGTCTGATGGATCAGCACTCCTTCTGCCCTCGGAAAGTTCACAACACAGTGATGCACCGACGGCGATGCGGTAATGCCATTCTAAATAAAGCACTGAATTTCATCATATTGCTTTGAAATTGTTTCTTTCTTCAAAATACGTGTTTGAAATTTCATTGTTTGAGACAACGTCGTCATTTGTGGGGTACTCGATAGTACCGAAATGGTATATACGGTGAAGGCTTGCCCATCATTAGCATGACAACCAAAACTAAGGAGTCAAATGGAGTAATAGACAAGCCTAAACACCGGGAAGAATCCCCGCTGTCTTAGAAGACATCTGGCTCACTCTCATCCCCAAAGACTGGCGATAAAAAGTGGAAGCATTACGAAACACTACCGATTCTTGCCTCATAGCGAGCTATGCAAGTATTTGAGTTAAGTTTCTGTGACTTAGTCTTCTGATGTGGTTATGAAATTGTTAAAGAAAAGGCTTCAGCGTATTCACCAATGAAGTTTTGCTGTTTTCGAGAAGACTTTCAATAAGTACAGTCTCCCATGAAACAGTTGGTGACATAGCAAACAGCGTTCGTAACGTATCCGATTCTGGTTCTAACGTACAACCAAGAAAGAATATGTCATTATGATCCTGAAATCATTTCATGAGCTTTCATTATTCTTCATTGTCACACTTATAATATCCTCAATGTTCCGGAATACCTTATAGAATCCCTTGATAAATATCGCACCAACGTAACTATTGGAAAAGGTCGCTTTAATTACCTAAAACGAGGAATCGTAGATAACTTCACAATTCTAGTCTTTTTTTTTCAAGGTATGTGCTTGCTGCTATCTATCTATGGAAGTGTGGTTATTTCTAAAACTGCATTCACTACATCAGTTGTGACGTAAGAGTTTAGCGTACGCTTGGTCGTACCCTGAAAACACACACTGTCTTTGGTTCGATTTCGCGCCTGGGGACACTAAGTCTACCATCTACCTGAAATCAGCGTATTGGTGTTGGAGGAAAAAGAGCGTATAAATACTGATTCAGCACATCGATGAGTCCTTGCAGCTCATTTTATAGACTACATAATCTTCACCTCCCAACGGTTTCCCGCCTTATCATGACTGGGAGGTGTTCCTGGGTGTAGGACTGCGATATGCAGCGGAAGGATTCGTCCCCAAGGCGGGGCGTCACAAGCTGAGAAGGAGTTCGATGTTTTCATCATGAAGCCTGGCTAAGAGTAAACCAATACCACGATCCACCACGATCCTGGTATAAAAGTCGCATGGCGGCAAATTTCTCTCTGATAGACTAGGGCTGAGACTGTCTGTGGTGATGAAGACGTGGACCAGACTTTGGCCAGGCTGAACTTTGGGTTCCAAAGAACCCACAATGGCTTAACCAGCAAATATCCGAGAAATGAAGATTATCTGAGAGCCTCATAACTAGTGAGGACGGAAAATTCAACTATCAAGCAAGTAAGTATTAATGCAATCTACTGCGCTGAGTAGAGTCAGATACATGTGCATGAGTGAAGCATTAACCACCGCTGAACACTTTACGTACTTTCAAAGACTTTTATTCTTATATTTTCCTCGAGAAAACGTGCGATTCATTTTTAAAGCCTTTTAAGTAAACATCAAGAACCATCGTGACATTTCAGAGTATTTTCTTATTTTGAAAATGCGAGGACTGTATGTTTACTTTCGTCCGTCGAATTAGTCACCTTAGATCGCTAAGAAGTCGTGTACTTGTAAGAGACGCCAAGACAAACAAGACACACCTGAGTAGTGAACGACTCCACACCTGGTAAAATATCCCTGGTTTGTTCGACAGAGAACAACTGTATCGCGTAAGGCAACTGATTTTGGACACATTCGAGAATTGTCCGATGAGTTTCAATCGAAGCGGCACAAGCTGAAAGTAAACATTCGAATTATCTTTTCAACTTTTTTTAAAATTTGCTTACTTTTCTGAGCGTTGTTCTTGCTTCCACCCTATCATACTCTCTTTATACCTTCCCTCTCACCATGCTAATAATGTTAAAATGCTACTTTAAAAATGTTAAGAAGGTAGACTACGAGAATCGACTCAGGCTGCGAGTCGGCCGAATCCTGGAGAACATAAAGTTAGGACATCATATAACACGAAACACCTTCAGTAATAATATTGTGGCGATAAACAAGATGGCATAAAATGTCCAGTTACTTGAAACACTGGAGGAGATAAAAATATTAAGCAGTGATTAAATACAGAAGGATCAATCTCGTTTGCTTCTAAAAAGCATTCAGTGAGAACTATGAAAAGCAATGTCAAATCAAGTTACTTCTGTCATGAAGTTTCGTAATAGACGTATTCTCCGTGTTTCCTTTCTTCTCAACAGTCAAATTTTAACGTTAGTGGCCCAGTACTGCATTTTATGCCTTGAACTGACTTGAAGAACTCGATCAGTATTTATTAACAGTCAGTGGATTTGACACCTAATCCAATTTAAAACTAGAACCATCGTCTTGGCAGAATGAAGTGGAATATTGTACAAATATATGCGGATTTAGCTAAATGCAGACCATTTGATTAATGGTGGACCTCATGCAAGTCCCTCAGTTATGTAGCGGGCAACATGTGAGCCCCGGAAAAGGGTAATTGAAGATTCGAATCTGGCTTGGTATGTGTACTACAAATATGTCAGTATTACAGTGCTTGTAGTTCGTAACATACCCTGTCGTGAAAAAGTAATAACAGACAATAAATAAAAAGTTAACTCCCACGTCCGACTTTCTATTAACCTCGGCATTGATTGAACAATTCTTTCCACTTCTGCTCAGCAAACACGATGTGCGAGGTCTTGACTGGCCCAGGACGGAATCGAACTAGCACCATGCTCGCGATGACCGACATTGCTAATACATTCATGTTTATAGGTAGTGCACGTGTTTGCTGAGCAGAACTAAAAAGTTTACACTATGATTTCGGCTAGGTCCTCAGTTTAACTGGTTTCAATGCCGATTTGTGCTCCCCAGATCATTTCCGTAGACGGGCAACCGCTGATGGCACCGTAAGGTAGAAAACTGGATGAGAGAAACGTAAAGCAAGGGCTTCAGCTTCAGTGGTGCAATAGATAATACACAAGCCGCCGGAAAACGTAGTCGCGGGTTTGAGTCTGGTATGGGGTCTGAGTTTTACAAACATCTCATCATTATTGTGGTTGTATTTCAAATAAGTACAGATCTTTTGACCATTACGAATACAGTTTGGGACGACTTATAACCAGAATGAGTCCGCAGAGACAAAGGCAACGTGTCCCTACGGTATGTATGCTGGCACCTCGTGTTCATCATAACTATACTATCGTATATACCAAAATTTCCTTTAAGACCGGACCATATCACCATATTCATTAATTTGAGAACCGGTTCATATACTAGTGGATATCCTTCCTATTACATCAGGGTGGCAGTTGTGCACTTTACGGCATAGACACCACAGTTATAAACAATTCCTTAGTCTATTTACTCGCATCCACAACAACATCCGAACTACAACCAGAAGGCTGATGAGATATGAGCAAAACTGAAGACTTCAGCTGGACTTCCAACACATGATTACCGTTGCCAGCGGCTCACATGCTGTCACCCACATCAACCGAGACCTTCGTTTTACCTTTTCTTAGCCAACAAAAATCTATCAGTGCTATCAACAATTGAATTCAGTTAACCTGAAGCTGTAGTCGAAATCATAATAAAGTTCTATTTGCTGCCTATTCTCCATTCATGACATTGTATACAAGAAATAAAGGCAAAGCGATGGCCTCGGTAAGTGTAGGGGATAGCACGTGAGACCCCAGTAATAGCAAACACACTTTCTAAGCCCAGCTGAGATTTTGAGTTTTGTTCATCTCTCAGCATCTTTGAGGTTGAATTTCACATAATACCCTGCCATTGGAAAAGTGGACAGTAAATAAAAGTTAAACATTGCAACAACCGAAGTGTTTGTAATCCTACAACACCTTAATAAGATTTCAGTACGGATATGTCATTAGAAGAGGGCATCAGCTATGCACAGCTGGTTGCCTTTAGCCAGCCTTGAATTGTAGATTTCCCAAACACTATTTTTACTTTTCCCAAGAACACCACCATTAATCAATTCTGAAGCAAAGCACCACTTACCGATTAGTCCACCTTTCGCTGTACATAACGCTGTAAAATCGTAGCCACCTTCGATGAACTCCTGCACCACGTATTCACCGGACAGATCAACGGTAGAATTGTCCTGAAGTAGAAACATGAAAACATTTATGATGTTCAGCACCACATGATTCGTAAGCTCTATGCATTGGCATACCCTAAGCCATTGTCGAAATTCACGTTCTGTATGCAAAATATCCTGCACAGGTTGATGACGAACGGATCGTACTACCAGTGGAAAGTCACCTACTTGTGAACGAATGACGTCCAGCCACGGTTCTGGTTGTGGAATACCGGACAGGGAACACTGTCTGGAAGTAAATCGTTTGGCGTTTGGCGTTGATCAATGTCTTATGGAGACGTCGTGCACGCGACTCCATCAAGGACGGCAGAGGTGACTGAATGCATATTTGGGTTATACAACAACATACAGGAGTCCACCACGGATCGAATAGTGCCTTTTTCCCATCTAGCTTTGATAATTCCCTTAGAAAGACGTCATGCATTCAACTCGATCACGTTTCAATGACTAACGGGGCTATGGTGTTATCAAGTCAGTGTTTGTTATCCTCCCAGATGACCCTGGTACTAACGTGCCGACCTCGGTGGATGGAGAGCTTGGTTTGCGAGGGGTGCACAAGCGAACCAAAGACTGTCTGTGCATTGCAAGGCACCTCTAACAACTGCGCAAGAGCATCACATTTCTCCCGCCAGTGACCATTTGGAAATACAAACGCTGATTTGTAAGCTTTGCCCGAGTTGTACTATTAATTCTTTTTATCTTGAAGTTCCCACCTTTTTAAGCCATCTGCTTAACGGACTTGAGTAATGGGGAAATAAAAACAATTCTTGTCTACAGTGTTAACTTTTTATTTGCTGCCTACTGCAATTAACGGGGCTATACTGCAATTTCTCACGGCAGGGTATTATGTGAAATACAGACATAATGATGCTGAGATATTTGCAAAACTCCGGAACACAGATGTCTAAGGTGAGGATCGCACACGCTATTACCCTTTCCGTAGGGTAAAGCGGGAGCGCGTACAAATCGTCCAATGCCGACTTGTGCTCGCCAGATTAATCCCATTGACGGTTGATTGCTGATGGCACTAATCGATAGAAAACTAGCTGAGACAAGTGAAGCGAAGGACTCACACGGTGTAGTGCTGAACGCGTTAGCCCTTAAAAGCGTAATAGTGGGTTCGATTCCCACCGCAGACACCTGGTTCCGCAGTTTGGCAAACATCTCAGTCATTATGGCTGCCTTTCACATAGTTTTTGCTCATTTTACGTAGCTTTCGATTTATTTTCGTGATTATGTCACCTACAAAAAAAAGATGTGTACGAAAGAAGCTATGTAGTAGACACGAATGAAAAAAGTTCTCTGATTCAAATTTTCGATAGGACATTTTATCCTAGGAGTTATGAGAGACAAACCGTAAAGTGGCGATTCCATTCTTTCGTGGATTATGGATAGAATCTCGAACGTCCAGTAGCTGTTTTAGCTGCTCTGGATAGAAACCCTAGAAATATCGACCCAATCGGAAATCCTCAAACTTTAGGAATAACAAGATTTTAATAGCTACTGAGAGCAAACACTTTGAAACTGAGAACTCATACCCTTATCAACAGCTTAAATAAACATTTTAATATCAGATTTCAACCAGCTACTTAATACCTTCCTGAAAACAATTCTTCCACCATCTCGATTCCGACCAGCTATTTCATACATTCTTGAGTAGAACTGATTTCCTTGTAGCTATCAAATAGTACCCTTCTGTGCAAATTTCAAATACAGTTAACTAAAGCCAAGTAACAAGAACATCCTTGTCCATTTCCTTTCTTCCCACCCTTCACACACAAAGAGGGCGATTGTGAGAAACATGTTTCGAACAGCCACCTCTGTGTGCACTACCAGGGAACTAAAGGAAGAATCGCGCGACTTGGCCCGGCAAATAGCCATCTCCAATGGCTACGAAATAGTAACCCCACGAGATAAGTTTACAAGGAGAACGACGCGCCCACGCGAAACGCTTGGCCAAAACAAAATCCCGTTTATGTTGCCTTTTATAAGCGACGAAGTAAGCGCAGCTATAAAACGATGCTTAAGAAGGGCAGGTCTAGAGGAATCGGTAGCGATAGTTGAAATACCACCGACTACTCTACGTCGCCAATTGGTTCGTAACCGCCTGTATGACCGTCTGTGTGAAACAACAAATTGCGTAATTTGCCCTTACGGCAGGGACGGTGATTGCATGAGTTCAGGTACGATATACCTGATCTCGTGTAACAATTGCGGAGATGAATATATTGGCGAAACGGGCAGACCTTTGTGTATCCGTATAAAAGAACACCTAGATGGCAAACGAAAACTAAGACGAAGCACCCCACTAGGCACGCATAGGATACAAAAGCATAGCGGAGACGATTTTGAAGTAAAAGTCAATATCCTTGCACAGGAGTCCAAAACACCAGCACGAAAACTCCTAGAGGCTTTTTGGATCAATGCCAAAAACCCTACAATGAATAGCAGGGACGAATGCCCGGAGGTCATACGCGGCCTGATCCCGTACGTTCGCATCGATTTTTGATGTGGGATGGTGCAGTCGTCAACCACATGCGACTATAATCAGCTGTTCTAAACTTCCTCATTGGAAGTCACGAAAAAGCGGTGGGTTTTTCGAGAAGTTGTTGATCGTGTAATTGCCGGAGAGTTCTTCGTCTTCTTGTAAGTGTTATTGAAGCGTTTGGCCTAGTAGATTGCATATCAGCATACCCTTCCAGGCTCTGAAGAAGGCGATACTGCCGAAACGTCAGCTAGCGTTGTATTGTATTGTGTTTTTATGGAAGTAAATGTATGCTCTTTAAAAACCTCGCGATTGCTGAACAAGAAAACGACACATTCATATTCCAATGCCGAGGTTAAGAGAAAGTCGATCTTGGGAACTATTACAGTTAAGTAAAATAAGGTTCAATTGGATAGTTGGTGAGTCCGATTTTAGGGAGTTCTTTTCTTCTTTGGTTGTTTTAGCGTAGTGGAACCCAGCACACAATTCTGGCTATACTGACTTTCCAGGAAGCTAAGGAAACAAAACCGGATCATCGTGATTGTTCGCGAATTCTGGGAGGCCAAAACTATTTATTATAGGCTTAAAACTTGCAAAAAGCGTCAGAGAAAACAATAAATTCCTGAAAACAAACCTCGATACCCATTTCTTTCCGAATTCGGGCCACTGCCTTCTGAAGATTTCGTTCAAATGCAATGATTCGTCGCTCGGAAGCGGAATGCATTGAGCACAACTCACGAACCTGAATTGAATCTTGTTCTACGGTGTTTATGTCAATGTCCGAATATCACCATTATTAAAATACCATTTTTCGTTCCGCTTCGGCAACATCTTTACTTCATATTTTAATCTCATAGATAGAGGTGTTAGACTTTGTGTGCTAAACACATCTACGATATGAATAATAGCGTTCCATTGTCAAATCACTGATATATTATGTAATTTGCAAGTATTAGATAATCATAAGGATGCTGAGATATGAGAAAAATTCGGAACCTTAGGTTCGCTTCGAACTCGCGATTACCGTTTTCGGATTTTGCACGTTATCCGATGCACCAACCGAGGCTCTTGCTTTGCCCTTGTAAACTTAAAGTAATTTTAAAAAAACCATGTGAAAGGTGAACAATGATTCAAATACAGCTCTATTTATCGGATTAGTATGCAAGAAAGAAAAAGGCAATTGCACCAAAACTAGAGTTTGACGCCCAAGCCTTCCCATGCGCCTTGTGAATTGAAATCAAATCATGCCAGCTACTTTACACCCATCCTTCACAGACATGGATCATGTTTGCTGTCATCATTTGTAACATATTTTTTTGTCTGTGTATTTGTCATAGTCATCCGTAATCATTAGCTGTCTTTGCCCCTTCTTCATCGACAACTGTGTCCACAGGTTGACGAAAAAGCTCGTCCGAATGACAATTTTCCACCGACTATTAAGTGCAAAGAGTAGCTTTTGTGCTTCAACACTTTGAAATTTGTCTGCTTTGGAGAAGTAATCGATCTAATACCAGAACAGTGGCAAAAAACCTCCCGCTTGCATAGCCGAAAAGAAACTAATCTGGTATAAATGCATGCTGATTTGTCCCATGCCACGTCGAACCGCAAATGTTGAAGTGAGGAGTAATTTTTAGAGAGTTATATGTGCACGGATTGTCTCAAGCTCATTGTTGCATTCTTCACATTTTGAAAAAAAATGATACGGATTTTTTGACGGTGATATCTTCCACGAAGGTGCAACAAGTCGAACAGATTCAAATCCGAAGGTTTGTATTAAGCTGCATGATTCTCTGTTTCCAAACGATTTGGTTACTTGAAAATTCATCGATAGATGCCTCAAAGTCAACTTTTGCGAATTTTTATTAGCTACTGCATATTACGAATAACGAATAGTTCTTCTGTATTACGAGTGCGCGTGGTAGTGGTCAGAGGTGTCCATCAATACAGACTAGGTCGATCGCTGGTTCCATCCAGCTCCCCAGACTAACCCAGCCTTCCATTCCTCCGGGGTCGCCAAACTGGCACCACATTTGCCTTGGAAAATACAACACCGATCTCATATATTCATATATTCGTAGGTTACCACAAATCACTATGTTGATCAAACATGCATTGATTCACCTTTACGATGCCTGATGAAACCGAATCCATGGCGCATCTCTCGGGGATTGACCACTGTCGCTATTTTCTTCGCCCTTTTGTTCCGTGTTGTTCTCCTTATTTCATGGAACGCGGTAAGGCGGGTAATCGCCACCCAGTTATTAATGAGGCATGGCTCGCCATAAGCTGGCAGGTACACATGAATGATGCACCTGTCCTGAGACGCAAGCAAATTCAAGACCTGAACTCCTTGTCTTTTGTGTCCCACATTGACGTACACTTAACTCATTTTATAACATTCGAATTAAACATCTGAAGAACGAATCACCAGTGTTTGTGAAAACAGTGGCTTCTATTTTTACATGTTACCTATTGGAACCACAGATCTCCCCCATATGAGGGATCCAGAAGGCAGGTTAGTCGCGAGGGTAGGCGACGCGCCCACAGGTAGCACACAAGGGTTTAATCGTGGACCACAAGCGACCTTTGCTTCTCTGAAACGCAAATGGATCCAGGCAATGGACTCCCTGTTTCTGCTGCTCTGATTTAGCACATACTTTTTGTATTTACGAGGCATATTTATGCACGCGTGTGGGATGCGTTCTAGTCTATGCAGATTGTGTTCTACGAGTCAATTCAGCCAAAAGTCTGCAACAAAGTGACAGGGAAGTATATAGGAAGCGACTAAGAGTCGCCTCCAACAAATAAGCATCGTATCCACTCTGCGAGTGGCCTGGTACGCTACTCGTGAGTATACCCAGACCCTACGTTCAGATCCTAGCAATCTACACGTGGGTACCAAAATGCTAAACACAGTATAAGACACGGGCCTCATTCCGCTGACCGTGAAAAGCGTCCAATTTCGCAGCGTTAGGTAAAACGAGTACGGAGAGGCTGCTAAAATCTCAGGACCAATGGAAGCTGTTTGGATTTCAAAGAACTATGTTGACGATCTGTACCTACAATGCACGTAAACTTGCATCCGAGTCCTCGATAGAAGACTTGCTCATGCAAGTCGATTCATTCCAACAGCTTACAACCCGAATTGGACGTTTACGATTAAGAAGACGTGGATCAATTCCGGCTTTGACAATCTTCGTCGTTTACGTGCTGACATCAAAATACGACGAAAAAGAAGTCGAAGCGTTTTATATGGAATTGGAGAAGTTCAACAGAGAAGACCACACATTCTTCACGGTCACCATTAGAGATTTCAACGCTAAGATTGGACCAAGAAGAACGTCTGAAAAAAGTCACATTGGGACTCATGGATTAAAATGGAATGAACAGGGTCACCGGCTATCTGAGTTTATTATTGGGTCCAGAACGTCTATGGTAACTCGCGAATCCAGAAGCCCCACCTTCAGCACTGGACGTGTATCTACCAATGGAGACTACCATAACGAAATAGACCACATAATAGTAAATAGGTTTGGCCTAACCCATGTTGCTGTTGTCCCAAAAATTTACACGGAATCAGACCATCGCCTCCATTGTGCAAGATCCTATTTTTCGCGGAAAGGAAAAATGGCCGCTAAATTCAAAAACCGAAATCCCAGAACCACCACAAACTGCGACTTATTCAATTCATTAACCGCCTGTTGGGAAAATGCCGTTGTCGATAACATCGACGAAGAATACGATCGACACATTCAACATCTTTAAGCTAGCGCTATGAAAGCTGACAGTTCGAAAGTTACCAAGATACGCCTGTCTACAGAAGCATGCGAGCTGTACGCCAGCGTGGAATCGCACGAGCTGCAGGCAACCGCGAACAAACGTCCGAACTAGCAAAACAATGCAGTCAGGCGATAAAAGAAGATCTCAAGGAGAGATGACCACCAGTAAAGTTCGAAGCTGCAGAACCTGGGAAAATCATTTGCAAAGCCCACCGAAGCTTCGCCAATTACAAGGCCAAAATGATTGCACTCTGGCGCCCAGGCGGAAGAGTGACAGCGTCCAGAAAGGCAATGGAGAAAATGATTCACGAATACTACACAGATCTCTTCGATAGCTACGTCTACCTTCCGTCCTATGAAATAAAGGAGGATGGATATGTTGTACCAGCGATTCTTCCTACCGAAATCCGAAATGGTCTGTACAGGATAAGACCAGAATACCTAAAGAACGTTCCGCCAGTCCTCGTAAACACACTGGCTCGGCTCTTCACACGTTACCTGTTTGAATGCAAGGTCCCTACTCAGTGGAAGACCAGCATGACTGTGTTATTGTTCAAGAAGGGTGACCTACACGATATCGGCAACTATCACCCAATCTGCCTACTGTCTGTCGTCTACAAACTTTTCACTCGAGTCATCCTACACAGGATTTACAGAACACTGGACGAAGGACAGCGATTTGAGCAAGCAGGGTTTTGAAAAGGATTTATTGCGATGGACCACATCCACACGATAACAAGACTCATTGAAGTATCGCGAGAGTACAGATGACCGCTCTGTCTCACTTCCACTGATTTACAGAAGACCCTTGATTCAGTTGAGATAGAAGCAGTCTTGAAAGCCCTTGATAGTCAAGGAGTCCCTATTCAGTACATAAATATTCTTCGTGAGCTGTACACAAATTTCACAACCAAGATATCACCATTCTACAACTATATTAACACATCAAAAGAGGTGTTAGGAAAGGCGATACAATCTCGCCAAGATTATTAACCCCCACCCTCCAGAACGTCACGTGAGCATTGGAATGGGATAAAGGCGAGTAGAAATCGATAGTCGGCAGTTACACCATCTTCGCTTTGCTGATGACATCGTCCTTATAACACCAAACATTAGCCAAGCGGAACGCATACTTGACGACTTTGACAAAACCTGTGGAAAGATTGGTCTTCGACTAAATCTCACAAAAACGATATTCATGAGGAACGGATTGGTTTCCTCTACCCCATTCATGCTCACTGGGACAAATATCTCTAAATACTCCAGTGATATCTATCTAGGTCGGAAAATCAACATATTGAGCTACTTAGCCCCAGAGCTGAGCGAAAGGAAACGAGCGGCTTGAAGAGCTTTCAAGAGCATCGAGGATTTAGTGAAGAGGACAAAAAACACCTGACTTCGTGCCCACCTTTTCGACTCCACAGTTCTTCCTGCGCTAACGTACGCGTTAGAAACCTGGTCGCTGCGTAAACAAGATGAAAAATCACTCAGCGTTATCGAACGTGCAGTAGAAAGGACGATGCTGGGAGTATCCCGTTTCACACAAGTAAGCGATGGGATCCGAAGCTCCGATCTGCGTCAACGACCAAAAATCAAAGACGCCGTTCTGTACGTCAAACCGTCGAAGATAAGATGGGCCGGACATGTAATGCGTATAAATGACAACCAATGGACAAGAGCCGTTAGTGACTGGATTCCTCGGGATGTCAAACGTACTGCAGGAAGACCACCGACCCGATGGTCAGAGTTCTTCACAAAGAGCCTTGAAGAAGGATATAATGCTCGACGAGTCCTTAGAGCCAGCAAAACCCACTGGGCTACTCTTACACGCGAAAGGGAAAAATGGAAGATTTACTGGCGCCCACTCGAGTCACTCGACGATCAACGGGATCACAGGTGATACAGGTGACCAATTGGAATCATCACACCAAGAGAACGTAAAACAGGCAGGAAGATATTATTTTACAACAAAGAAGTTCTCTATAACATAAGTACTGCATAGGACTACATATGTAAAAAATCAACTAGGTCTCTCAAGCGTGACGTACTAAAGACTAAGTATAGACAGAAACCACTAGCGATAAATATCCTCGGAAATTGAAGCGCATAAGGTCGGCAACCAGCTTCGATAATCAGACCTTGTCTCAAAAACCATGTATGAGGAACACCATAATCGTAATCCTACAATTCAGTCCACTTTGGAATAGGGCACATGTTGTAATGGAGAGAGTACTGGCGTTCGGTTGGGTCATTCGATTACGAAGTGTTGTTAACTGTTGATCTCTTCGTTCACTATTTGCCTCGTTACTTTTGTATATACGTCGTTAAACAATGAAATAGAATTTCTAGATCCTACGAAACTAATCGACGACCACATTATTCAATTTGCTTCTTAAAGCATACAGTGTTAGGCGAAAAAAAACACGTCGGAAATAAGGTTCTTCGTGAAATACTAATCGTAAAGATAGCTTTTTCAAGAGCCACGCACCACTCAACAACTGTACTGGATAAGCTGCCGTTTGTATAGAAAATGCACAACAAAAAGGCTACTTGCAAAAAAGTTTGGAGGAATACGCATCGAAATCAACGCGCATATTCGCTTATGTGTGAAAAGAAATAACAGAGCTTTTGTCTCTAGTTTTTTCAGTATAGGCCATCAGGTGGAAACGCAGCTAGTGTAAAATGCGACGTCCCGAATCCTTCATGGAGGGTAGTTCCAAAGTTCTTCTGATATCGTTCAAGAATTTCTTGAGCTTTCTCTTTTTATAATGAAGCAAGCAAGTATGAAGACTCAAACCTGCTAACGATCATTAAGGAAATCCGTTACCTTTTGTAATAACTGCAGATTATCGTGGTCTTTGATTGGTGATTCAACTTGATAATAGGCGTCAACACTGAAATTAGAACTAATTGGCAGTGAAAGTAGAATTCACCGTGATTATACAGGATTTATTAAAAAATGAGAAGCAGGCGAAACAAAGGACCAGCGTGGTGTGGTGGAGAACGCGTTAGTCCCTGGAACAGGTACTAGAGCTTTCGTTTCCCACCGCAGACACCAGCAGTCCGGAGTTTTGCAGATATCTCAGCAACATTATAGTTAACAAAAACTATTTCTCAACTTCTCAAAATACCCTTCTATTCTTGTAAAGTGGAAGTGGTCATATAAGTGTCTTCGCCACAAAATCCTAACCATGAGGGAGAAGAGTCTTTTTGAAGAACGCCATTCGAATTTAAAAACAAACATGTCTGTACAGACTTCGTTTCATCAAGTAGTGTTCTTGGTGGTCCGACGACGAAAATTCGTACATCACTTTGCTTTCGAAGTTTTAAACGATTCAGACGGTATTTCCATAGAACGATTATGATTGTACGAGCATGCATGCAATCTGAAAATTTTTGCAAGAGAGTTTTTCTAAATCTGAGGAAAAAATAGAGAGAAGGAAAGATATTAGAAAACAGAGACAAAAGAAGCAGTGATAGCGAACAAATTACAATGATGGGAGAGAATCATATGTAGTAAATAAATAGTTAAACATTGTGATTTCAACTACATCAGCTTAACAGTTTAAAGGTTTAAAGCCGAATTAAAGCCATTCGCGTTGCGTTAGCACAAAGCTGGCTGAGAGAAAAACAAAGCAACGATAGACTGACTACTAACAGAGGTCGTGTGATACACAGTGGTTAAAGGTAGGCCGAAATAACAGGATACTTCGATCCCGCACCCATGGCAAAGTAAATTCACCAATCATTCGATATGGATTATTTTGTACGACACTTATTTAGGATGATAAAAACACTAAACTGCTACCTCGATAGACTGCACACGTCATTGTACGGCCCAAAGATGCATTCTATCACTATGATGATACGAATAAACTTGAATGAATGACGATTCCGTAAAGAATTCATCAACTTCGAATGCTTTATCATTTAATTTTTTTAACAATTAGCAATACGCTATAAATAAATAAGGAACAAAGCTTTCGGCGTTGATCAATCCCTGAGTGATGCGCCATGCGTTCGATATCATTAAGCAACATTTGGAGGTGATTGAATGCATATCTGGCCTTTACAATGTCTAGCGGTGGTTTACCGATGTATCGAGCCAGTGCTGCTATCCTCCCAGACAAGCCTGATGCTAATTTGTCGACCTCGGAGCGATGGAAGGCTTGGTGGGCCGTAGGCGGAGGAAACGATTCCACGTGCCTGTTGCAGGGCGCCTTCGACCACTAGGCCACAAGCACTCTCAATACGATATAGTAGTTAATTTTCTGATGGCAGGGTTGATTTGACTAACGACAGAGATCCTCTCTTGTTAACTGCTTAGAAACAGAGGAAAAGACTCACTACTAAAGTCAAACGCGAAAATTGAAATTGATCGAGTTCTATTCTCTAACAACATCATGAAATAGTTACCAGCAATTTAAAGCAATTCGCGGGAAGAATAACGTATTTTGCAAAAACTCATCGCGACACTTAGAAAACGAAGACCAGAACAAGCGTTCAAACAGGGTGACATTAATGACATTTATTTTACAACAGATGACGTTTCAACGGGTTTCACTTGTAGAACAGTTCAACGGGAAAAGAATGAAGAAGAAAACTGGTTTCATGAAACTTCACGAAATCAGCAGTGATGTTCAAAAAGAACACTAGAAGTGTAGATATTGTAAAGGTAAACCCGTGTCTCGAATTAGTGAGTTGTTAATGCTTTATCCCAAGAGCTTAAATATTTCTTTATTTATTTGCATACTTGTGAAAAATAACTAGAACATGATAACCAACGGATTCAACGTTCTCTAGAAAAGACAATTACAATTCAGTGAGCAAACTAATTCTCTTAACAAGAGCAGCTTCAGAATATCGTTAATCTAGGGACATCACCGGATGGTGTAAAGGGCGAAAGAGTTCATCAAAACACTTCAGGATAAGTAATCTGCATCAGAATGTAATAATTCTTCTACTTTACCAATGAGTTGAAGTACA